ACAATCAATATGGAGAGACTTTCAATCTTAGCTGGAAGAAGTATCCTAACTTCTCGTAGAGCAACCAAAATCAGAATAAGCCACAGGGGCAGTTTCAACAACAAGAGAAGATGCCTCAATTGGAAGATGTGATAGGAAAATTCATGGAGAAAGCCGAAGCTACACTTCAAAATCAAAATGCAACCATCAAAAATTTGGAAGCTCAGATTGGGCAGCTAGTCATCGCATTGACTGGCAGAACGCTAGGTAACTTGCCAAGTAATACAAAAATCAATCCCAAAGAGCAAACTAAAGCTATTACAACTCGAAGTGGAGTGCAATTGCCGAAAATCCATGTCAAGAGACCAAGTATGACTGTAGAGACATCCTCCTCTGCTGGAAATGAAACTGCTGTGAAGGAATAAACTCCAAACGAAAATTCAGAAAAATCAAGGATAAAGCCAAGGTCACAGTCAACCGATATGAGCCTCCGATTCTCTTTCCACAGTGCTTGAAGAAGCAAAAAGTGGAGCAACAATACAAAAAATTCCTAGAAGTCTTCAAGAAGCTCCATATCAACATTCCACTAGCCGATACACTGTTTCAGATGCCTAGCAATGTTTCACGCAAAATTTCTGAAGGATATCATATCAAATAAACGTAAGCTGGAGGACCATGAGACAGTTATGCTTACGGAGGAATGTAGTGCCAGAATCCAGAATAAACTCCCACCAAAACTAAAAGATCCAGAGAGTTTTACTGTTCCTTGCAAAATCGGTGAAGTATATTTCGATAAAGCATTATGTGACCTCGGTGCAAGTATTAATTTAATGCCTCTGTCTGTTTTTAGAAAACTCGGATTGAGAGAAGTTAAAGCAACCACTGTGACACTTCAGCTGGCAGATAGATCACTGACACACCCCAAAGGGATAATTGAAGACGTGCTCATCAAGGTCAAAAAGTTCATATTCCTAGCAGATTTTCTTATCCTGGACATGGAAGAAGACAAGGACGTCCCATTGATACTTGGCAGACCATTCCTGGCCACAGAAAGAGCGTTAATTGACGTTCAAAGAGGGCAGTTGATTTTAAGATTGGGAGATGAGTAGACATCGTTCAATGTATTCAAGGCAATGAAACTGCCAGCAGAATCAGACAGCTGTTACCAAGTTGACATTATTGACAAGACAGTACAGGAAACATTCCTACTTCATGGTCCATCTGATACATATGAGGCATGCATTGCACAATCCCAATCAGTTCACTCAAATTTTCTTGAAGTTGAAACATGTGCACGATTTTTGGAGACCAACCCGCCATATACCCGAAAACGGCACTTCGAGGAACTGGGGACAGGAATTACGAAGCCACTACCTTCTATCCAGCAGCTGCCAGTTTTAGAACTCAAGCAACTACCGCCACATCTCAGATATGCATACTTGGGAGAGTCAGATACACTTCTAGTAATCATTTCAAACACAGTCAGTGAGGTGGAAGAAGAAAAACTGCTCAAGGTACTTAGAGAGAACAAGACGGCAATTGGGTGGACAATAGCTGACATTAAAGGAATCAGCCCTTCTCTGTGTATGCATAAAATTCTAATGGAGGAAAACTATAAGCCAAGTATAGAGGGTCGGAGAAGATTAAATTGGAACATAAAGGAAGTGGTCAGGGCAGAGATACTGAAATTACTGGATGCAGAAATTATCTACCCAATTTCAGATAGTGCATGGATTAGTCCAGTTCAAGTGGTACTAAAAAAAGGGGGAATCACAGTGGTGAAAAATGAGAAGAATAAATTAATTCCTACCAGAACAGTTACGGGATGGAGAGTTTGCATTGACTATCGCAAACTCAATGCAGCCACACGAAAGGATCATTTCTCCCTCCCATTCATTGATCAGATGTTAGAGAGATTGGCTGGACATTCACACTACTGCTTCCTTGATGGATACTTGGGCTATAATCAGATACTTGTCACGCCAGAAGATCGGAAGAATACCACTTTCACCTGTCCCTATGGTACTTTTGCCTATCGTATGATACCTTTTGGTCTTTGCAATGCTCCAACCACATTTCAGAGATGTATAATGGCAATATTCTCCGATATGATTGAAAGGTTTATTGAAGTTTTTATGGACGACTTCTCAGTGTTTGGATCTTCATTCGATGAATGTCTAGAGCACCTGAATTTGATCTTACAGAGATGCAAGGAGACTAACCTGGTTTTAAATTGGGAGAAATGCCACTTTATGGTGCATGAAGGCATTGTACTCGGGCATCGAATCTCGGTAAAAGGAATTGAGGTGGACAAGGCAAAAATTCAAGTTATTGAGAAGTCACCATCGCCTACATCAGTTTAAGGAGTTCGTAGTTTCTTGGGGCATACGAGGTTCTATAGGAGATTTATAAAAGATTTCTCGAAAGTCACTAAACCGTTATGCAATCTGCTAATAAAAGATGTAACCTTTTAGTTCAATGAAGAATGCCTCACAGCATTCAACACTTTAAAGGAGAAGCTTACGACAGCATCAGTAATTGTGGCACCAGACTGGGAACTCCCTTTTTAATTGATGTGTGATGCAAGTGATCACGCCGTGGGTGCAATATTAGGACAGCGGAGGAACAAGATTTTTCATGTGATCTACTATGCAAGTAGGACTCTAAATGAAGCACAAATCAATTATACCACCACTGAAAAGGAGCTATTGGCTGTAGTATATGCATTCGACAAATTTAGGTCATACCTTATCGGGTCTAAAGTCATTGTCTACACAAATCACGCTGCATTGAAGTATCTGCTCACAAAGAAGGATGCAAAGCCAAGATTAATTCGTTGGGTACTATTACTACAAGAATTTGATATTGAGATACGAGACAAAAAGGGTAGTGAGAATGTAGTAGCAGATCACTTATCCTGATTAATGCCTAGGGGCAGGAAGATTTAGTGGATTTAAATGAGATCTTCCTAGATGAGCAGATGCTAAGAGTGGATGAAGCACCTTGGTACGCAGATATCGTCAATTACTTGGCTAGTTCCATCCCACCATCGGATTACTCAAGTCATCAGAGGAAAAAGTTCTTCGTCGAATTGAAGTATTATTTCTGGGAGGATCCAATCCTCTATAGGCGAGGGACTGATCAGATAGTAAGAAGATGTATACCTAAGGAAGAAGTACATGAGATTCTCGAGCAATGCCACTCATCTGCATATGCAGGACACTTTGGGGCTTCGAAAACAGCTGCAAAGATCCTACAATCAAGGTTCTACTAGCCTACATTGTTTAGAGACGCTTTTGAGTTTGTCAAAAGGTGTGACCGATGTCAACGCACCAGGAACATCTCGAGGAGGAATGAAATGCCACTGAATAATATTTTGGAGGTGGAGATATTCGATGTTTGGGGAATTGACTTCATGGGACCCTTCCCCCCGCCGTTCTCAAATCAGTACATCTTGGTAGCAGTGGATTACGTATCAAAATCGGTAGAAGCAGTTGCACTACCAAAAAATGATTCAAAGGCAGTAATTAGGTTCTTGAAGAAATATATTTTCACCTGATATGGTACACCGCGAGCTATAATCAATGACGGGAGCAAACACTTCTGTAATCGTCAGTTTGAGCAGCTATTAAATAAATATGGCGTTAAACACCGTGTCACCACTCCATATCATCCACAAACCAGCGGGCAAGTTAAAGTATCTAATCGGTAGTTGAAGAGAATACTCGAAGTCACAGTGAATTCATCTAGAAAGGACTGGTCTAAAAAACTGGACGATGCATTATAGGCCTACAGGACAGCATTTAAGACACCAATAGGCATATCTCCATACCGTCTAATTTTTAGGAAAGCGTGTCATCTGTCACTAGTAATGGAGCACCGGGTATATTGGGCTATGAAACAGTTAAATATGGATTTAAGTGCCGCTGGTGAAAAGCATCTACTGCAACTGAATGAGTTGGACGAATTTAGAATGGAAGATTATGAAAATTCAAAACTCTACAAGGAACGAACCAAGAAGTGGCATGAAATGCACATTTAGAGACGAGTATTCGAAGTAGGCAGCAAGTACTACTGTATAGCTTGAGACTCAAGTTGTTCCTAGGAAAACTATGGTCACGGTGGTCGGGTCCATACACTGTCACGAAAGTCTCACCATACGGAGTTATACAAATCAGCCATGAGACTAAAGGTACCTTCACTGTTAATGGACAAAGGCTAAAGCACTACTAGGGCGGTGACTTCTCCAACCAAAAGTCCACCGTTCAACTCAGGACACCAAAGTAAAGTAGCTGCAGAAAAGTCGAGCTATCGACTATAATCTAGCGCTGGGTGGGAGGCAACCCACTGTATCCTTTTTAAGTTAATTTGCTTTTGCATCATAGTAGGAATTTTTCAATTTCATTTTTAAAATTTTTAAATTTAGGTCATCGATCATTATATATATATATATATATATATATATATATATATATATTTTTTCAAATGTCAATGCGTGATTGTGAAATTTAATAAAACTTGTGTTTTAAAAAAAATAATAAATTTTAATGCAGTCGCATGGTGTGACCGCACACATAGGTATTGAATTTCAAGTGGCTAATGCCACTTGAACCATGCGGCCGCAGGCGCTAAAACCATACGGTATCATGGCAGAGTCGGGTGTGATTTTAAAATCACACCCGGTTCCTTTCTTCACCAAATTTTTTTTCTCTCTTCGTGTTCTTCATCCATATTTCTCTCCACACCCTTTGAAAAAATTTCACCCACCAAATCTTCCATTCAAATCACATTTGTACTCCACAATATACATGTCATACATCAAGCCACCCACTTCAAGGTAAGGTATTGCTTTTTCTCTCTCGTTTTCCTTTTTTTATTCTTTTTTGGAAAATTCGTCTTTGAATTCGTTCTTTTTATGAATTGAGGGAGAATGAGCTAGTTCATATAGGGATGGATTTGCTGTGATTGTGTTGTGTGATTTTTGGGATGAATTGGATATCAATTTTATTAATTTAGGACTACTTTCACATAATGCACACCAAGTGTTTGATGAAATGCCACAATAACCTTTTATGTACAATTACGTGCTTTTTGCATATACGTTGATTCACCAACATGGCACCAGATATATTTTAACGGGTTCCCACATAATTTGAACTAGAAAACACCCACTTTCACGTTGCACCACATAGGCACATGATTAGGTCACCGCACATCACGGCATCATCTGTCCCTTACTTTGCATCTTCATTTGACATACCAAACGACATCCAATTGGGTTGAAATTCGAGTATGTGCTACACTTCAATGAATACTTTGATATGCCCGGAGATTGTCCGAGAAAATTTTGATAATTCTCAATGATGTCAAGGGCCGAAAGTGCGCACTCGGTCATGGTTCCAATTTCTGAAAAAATGCATAATTACGTCGAGTTTTTCTCCATTTTTCGTATTGGCGAATTACTTGAATTCAATTAAACATCATATCTTGACTAGTGCACACCATGTTGCTACACATGTATCTAGGAAAGTTTGGGGAATTTGTGCAATGCATATTTTATTATCTCATCTCTTGCCTATTCTTTTCACATCAGACTTACTGAGTGTATTCTTACAAATTTTGCAGGATGCCTCCTAAAAGAACTTTACACGGGAAAGAAAAAGCAAGCTCTTCCATCGAGACAGCCCGTACTCGAGAGCTCGTGGGAGAAGTTCAGCGGTACGATATGAAAACATCGTACGCCATTGGACTTTACATGCTAAAAGACCCGTAAAGCTTGATGACTTCCAGAGTTTTGACTTGGTCAATTTAATTCAAATCTGTGGGTGGCAAAAGTTGGTGGAGAGACAACATCCACTCTATAAGCCTTTATGCTGAGAGTTCTTCACCAATTTCAATAGTGACATTGACACACCAGGCTCCGAGCATTTCCATCAGACTTGTGTGCGGGGGAAATGGATTATGTTCTCTCTCGAGGTCATTCATGATTACTTCTAGCGTACCATGGAGAATGTGATTCCTCTCCCAATTAACTTTCATTGGAATGAAGTGGCTGAGGTTTTAATGGGGCAGGAGAATGCATGGCCCCTCGAAACTACCGAGTGGCATCAGATTGAGCTTACCCCTTCCATGGCCATTCTATGGCTCTTTATGTGCCACAATGTCGAGCCCATATCACACAGGACTACATTTCCAGATCAGACAGCAGGATTCATCTACCACTTGGCTCGAGGCAACAAAATTGATCTCGCTACTCATATATACAATCAACTACACTCATTGGGAACTTGGAGAGATCGTCGCTCCACTTTGATATTCCCGAGCCTCATTAGTGGTATATGTTGGGCTGCGGGTGTTGCCCTCCTACCTGAGGAGTTACCTGAAAAACCAAGCCCCATAATCAAACGAACTACATTGGACGCTCAGACAAGGGCTCAGGTTAAACACAGGAAAGAGCAAGAAAATGAGCGACATAGATAGCAGGCAGAACAAGGCCAAATTCCTGCAGATCAGGAACACCCATGGGCTCCAGCACCACAAGCTGACGTAGATAATCAGTTGTTGAGACAGATCTTCTCCATCACCACGGGCATTAGCCGAGACCTTCACAGTTTCTTTCAAGATTTTGGCGACATGAGGACTGAATTGAGAAGTTTACAAAGAGACAATCACCTTGCGTTGAACTACATCAGAGATGTCAGGGATCATGCTACAGTCATGCGACGAGAGGTTGATACCATGAATGGCCGGCTGAACATGTATGTTGGTCGGGTGGACGATATCCAAATGAGGGTCAATGAAATTTGGGAGACCATGAGAGCTATCCAGGCCGAGCAGACATAGCAGTCTACCTTGATGCGGGAACTGAATGAGATGATGCGGCAGCTCCTTGGACGACACCCTCCTCCGCCAGATGATGGTACAGCAGGACCTAGTTTCCCGCCACCTCATCCATTTTGATTCAAGGGAAGTACTATTTACCTCATTTTGATTTTCCTTTTTATGTTGTCCGTAAAATTCTATCTTTAATCTTCTTTTAATTTTACATTGAGGACAATGTAGTAACAAAGTTTGGGGAGGTGACATAATTTTATAATTTTAACTTAGTATATGTGTTCATCAGTGTCTGTATTCCACAGTGCGTGCATGATGAAGAAATAATAATAAATAAATAAAAATAAAAATTTTCCTATGCATTTTATTCAGTTTTGTTTTAATTCTTTTCATGCATGCTTGTGTCGGCTTGATAACTTTACTAGCTATGATGTTATAATTGGACTAGTTTAAACTGCAAAAACTTTGGATCTGATGCAACTAGGCTAACTGACACTTGTTGATACAAAACTTGACATTATATGTACACACTATTCATGCTTGACATGTTAGATAAATGACTGAATTTTGAGCATAAAATAGGAAAAGAATGATAACCTTCTATTGAATTAAACTGTAAACTGTCTTAAGATAGTTTGGTGATGGTTGAGCTATTGTAAGGAAGCATTGAGATGAGTGAAGGCTCCGTGCATGAATTCTATTGTGTGGATTGTCTAGACCAGTGAGGTGAAGATTATGTGAAAATCTTAAATTAAGGGTTAGTTTTGGAAACTAAATGTCTAGAACAATAAGGGCATAAAATAAATTTGTGAGAACAATACACTTCTTTTCATGCCTTTATGACTCAGCAAGTAAGCCTGTATGGATATTTCAAAATCTGGTGCCCTAAAGTCAATTGACTTGGGAGTCACCGGCCTAAAGCTTGCTAAAAGGGTCATATAGAAAGCAAGATGGAAAGATGTTAAATGAAAGTCTTCTGATCGAGCCTTTATAACTCGAGTGAATAAGCCTGCAAGGGTTTAAAACCTGGTGCCCTAAAGTCAACTGGTTTGGGAGTCACCGGTCTAAAGCTCGTTACATGGGTTATATAGAAAGCAAATGAGAAGAAGAAAATGAAAAAAAAAATGAGAAGCATAATAATAAAATCAGAAATTAAAGATAGGTGAGAAAAAAACAAAAGAGAGACAAAACATGACGAAAAGCCCTTAGACATTTGGTTGAGAAAATTATAACTTTGAGGCGAGGCAAGTAACCTATTTTAATCTTGAGTGTCGAAGCAATCGAACTTGGGAGAGACTTCACTTGTTGAAATGTAAATTTGTGATAGTGAGATTAATCCAAACTATGAGAGGGGGAGGACTACAGCTATGTGAATTCCTAATTTTGAAACACAACCCTGAGATAATTGAGTGAAAAAACATAAGTTTGGGGGGTTGTGTATCTCTCGAGCGAGTAAGGTAGAACTGACCACTCGGGGTCGGGACTCAAATCCATCATGAACCTAATATGTTGGCATAAACTCACACACACATGTCAAGTACGCATTTAACAGGCGAAGGTTGATGTCATTTTTGCACTGATATATCTTCATCAAATCAAACACTTAGTCTAATCCTGAATCGTAGCAGGGTATTAAGCCATGTTTGTTCAGAATTTAGTCACTATCTTATTTGAAGACTAACAATAGTTCAAGTTTGGGGGGTTTGATAAGTGTGTTTTTGCACACTTATTTAGGTCACAAACATGACTTAATTACGAGCAAAATGATTGAATTATGACTTAGTGCAGGAAATTTAATTGGAAATATGGAATAATATGCGGCTGTACGGATTAAAACCATGTGGTCGCATAGCAGTTTGTCCGCTACGAAATTTTCTTTCCTTATACAATTAAAACTCCTTTGGTAACCTAATATTGACGGGATATAAATATCAAAAACAATCCAGAGATGACCAAAACGCATTGGGAGGCAGTAAAACACATCTTGAAGAAGCTTTGGAGCGCAAGAACGAAGATTGGCGATTGGAATTTCAAGATTTCTTCAAGTTTTTCTAATCCGGTGATGCTTATTACTCAAAACCTGAGGTATTTTGCTATTTTAATCATGCTAGGCTAGAATTTTATTATGCTAGGAGATCGATGAACCATGTGATTTGAATTTTAATATCCTCGTTTTGCAATTTGATGTTAAGACACAATTTTTATTGTTTTGAATGATTTATATGCAGTTAATGTTTTCGCAATTAAGGGCTCGTAATTGTGTGAATTTAAGTGATTTATTCTTGCATTCGAGAGAATTGGAATAGATTTGACATAATATAAATCATCGTAGGGTCCAATAGTGGATAGAAATATACCGCTATACTCTACGTGAATCTTTGAGTGTTCATAGAATTGCATATATTTTACATATGCTCTTGTCATAGAAATATAGGCCGATGGTATATAGAAATAAGTTTGATACATCTCGAGAGAGAGTATTGGATAGACTTAGAAACATTGATTCGTCACAATTGAAGTGTGTTGTCATATTGTGAAATTAGGGTTTAAAGTGATAATTGCATGGGAAATCGTGATTCTAGCGTATTTAATTTCTATTGATTATAACAACGTGCGTTCTCAACTTTTAGTTTTATTCTAGAATGTTAAAATATTGTTTTGAGTTTTAATTTCAATTTACACATTAAATTTGCGTAATTAGGGTTTCTTTTTGAAATTAGAGTTTTAATTATGTCCATACCCACTTTGACAATCCAATTTCGGTTAAGGCTACGTTAGATAAAATTTGAACTAATCAATCTCTGTGAGACAATATTCGGACTTATTGAATCCACTTTATTACTTGTTAACGAACCGTACACTTGCGATGGATTAAAATCGAAAGAAATAATTTCGTGAACATTATCTATAGAATATTTTTAAAAAAATCATTAATAGTAATTAATGCATTTAGTTTAATTACTAATTTTTTAAAAAAGTACGACGTGAGGTGCAGAGTGTGAGCAAGTGGACACTCCGCACTCGCTGTGCGAAGTGTTCGCACCGCACGTCGTACATTTTAGTTTATTTTATTTTTTTAAATTAGTAATCAGACTAAATGCATAAATAGTAATTAATGATTTTTTTTTTGAAATTTATATAGATAACAATGAGCACTCCGCGCAATGGAACACTCTGTACAACAATTTCAACTTCCCGGACAATATCTATTGCAGGGGGAGTATTCGGATTGTTGAGTCAAAATCATGAGGAGTATTCGGATTGTCGAGTCAAAATCATGGAGTTGCAAGGGGAATATTCGGATTGTGAGAGGTGGATCCTATACTATTTTTGTGTGTGTGTTATGAATTGCTTTATGTTCAAGCATTAGATGCCGTTCCATTTCTACAGAAAAACAGGTGTTGGGAAGAATTTATTTACCTTCCCATGTGCCAATGCCATTAATTCACTACATTGATGGACACAGGTATAATTGTAGACTAGGTACAGATATGGCTAAGAAACGCTGATACACACTCACCATGCGTAATTTATGAATGTAACATTCAGAATTCATTTTTCTGACTTAACATTTACTTATTATGTATTATGTCAACTCTAGCACATTTATGGTGTCAAAGTATAAATGCAGCTATTTGTTTAGTAATGTATACGAGAGAAGTGATATGAATTATTATATATTCAAGTAGCATACAATTCTTGTCTGGAAGGAAAAATTCACATTCACTTTATAAACCTCAAGCATGTTTTTTTATTGTTGCAACTATAAAATTATTTTGTAATAATTTTCTTTATATCATGAAAATATTACTAGATATTCATTCGAAAACTTCCCTAAAAACTAAATTCATACGCTAATAAAACTACGATAAATACAAAATTCATACAAAGCATGCTACATTGTCTAGTAGTACCTAAAATTTCATTTTATTTGTACTTATTATTTACAGATTTTTGTAAGATCCACCGACAAACATGCACTTAGACAAGACACACTCTATAAAATTGGTCAAAATGGTTTTGAGTACTTCTCATTTTGTTTTCTTTTAGCACTCTTTTTCGCTACTTTTTATCATCTCGTTTTGGCAATTTTTAGCATCGATTTGAGGGAATAAAAAAAACTCAATATTCATATTTTTATAGTTTCGATTTCTCTTAACTCTCTACCGAATATGTCAAGCATTTTATGTCTTTCACATTTTTTTTTTTTTTGGATTGCAAATTTGACATTTTCTAGAAGGATTCTAGCTTAGAAATTTCTATATATAGAAGAAAACATGAGGAAACATTTTTATTGGATAAAAACGCATCCATTAACATTACTAATATTGTTCAATCATAGGCTTAAGAAAAATGTTAATTATTCAGTTGTAGGGAAATTTTATTGATTTTGAAGTACCATATCCAACTAAATTGGTGCACATATCTTCCAGGTGAATTTAGTCTCAGAACTGCTATAAAGATGATGTTTCTTCGATGTTACGTCGAGAAAGACACGATGAAGAATATTTCAACACAATTCTTTTATATATACAAGTTTCAGGATAATGGTGGATGGCATTGTTGTTCAATAATATGTTCAAGTAACAATGTAGCTAACTTCTTGATAAAATCATCTTTGACGTGGATATTCAAGAATTGGTCATCAATATTGGAATGTGTTGATTCCAGGATCTACATTGATTGCCATTAGGAGGAATGTTGTACTCATCTTCTTTCGTCTATGTTGTGTATCACTAAAATTTTTTGGCAAGCTTTTAAAGAAACACCAATTTTCTAACCTCTCATAAATTGTGTTATCCAAAATCGATCAAAACTAATGGGGGGAAACAGTCAATCCCAAGCAGGCCCTTAAGTTTTTGAGAGAAAACTTTATTTCTTCATGCCAAGAAAATATCATAAAATAATAATAATAATTTTATTTATTATTATTATTATTTTTTGCTTTATTGTTGCCTGTTATTCATTCTGTAATAGCTTAATTTCGTGGTTACTTCTCCAACAAGTCACATCAAGTGACATGTTTTTGCTATATTATCATATTAGAAATATCTATGCAAGTGGACCTTCTTTTTTTTTTTTTTTTTTTTTTTCCCCTTTTTTNGGTAATGTCACGTGGCAATGTGTAAACTAAAGTGTACACCATAGTGTACATGTAGCAAGGCTCTTACCGATTGAACTTTACAATTTGTACATTAATTTTGGACACGTTGTTTGACACTTGCATTGTTGTCAAGTGTCAATTGGATGGGAAAACTATTTGAAATTTAAACTATCCAACAGGGTAATATCACGTGCCAAAGTGTAAACTAAAGTGTAGACCATAGTGTACAAGTGGCATGGTACTTACCGATTGAACTTTGCTATTTGTAAACTAATTGGTAGCAAATAGGGACATAAAATTACCAAGTGTCTTTACTTGGCTAACCAATTTATGATTACTACTCATTTATTATTAACACATTTCATAAGATTCACTATTAGTTCTATTATTATCTCTCTTTGCGAACCATTTATAAATTTGCCATATGGACAAGTGATTTCATAATCATAAACTAGATTCACTTGATCTCCTGCAATTATTCTACTTCTTGGCAGCAGCTAGAAAGAAAACTTCAAAACTAGTAAGGACCGCACTGAAAGGGACGATTCTGCACATAACAGAATAGAGTAGACGCTAACAAGAGTGTGGAGTGGCAATCGCTAGCAGAGGAAACTTTTTATGAATGGTGATTCCAGTGCCTTCAGTCATGTCCACATTACTCTCTTTTCCTCCATTTGGCAATGCAAAGTTGAATTTGTGCACCAGTTTTGCCAATGCAAGCTCATTAACAACTATGGCAAATGTAGTACCGGGACAACCTCTCCGACCAGAACCAAATGGAATCAACTCAAAGTTAAGCCCTTTGAAGTCTATCTCTGTTTCAAAGAACCTTTCTGGACGATATTCTTCGGGGTTTTCCCACGATGATGGGTCTCTTCCAATTGCCCGAGCATTGACAATCACTTGTGTGCCTGCGGCAATGTCATAGCCCATGAGTTTAACGGATTGGGTAGATTCTCGAGGAACCAACAACGGAATAGGAGTATGAAGACGTAGAGACTCTTTAATCACTGCTCTCAAATACTGCATTTTCTCCAAATCATATTCGGTTATCTCCAACTTCCTTCCAGCTACTTGTCTAACCTCATTTTGCAATCTTTCCAAGATTGCTGGATGCCTTAAAAGCTCTGCCATTGTCCATTCCAACACAGAGGATGTTGTATCGGTTCCAGCAGTGAATACATCCTGTCAAATTAAAAGATGCACGAAAAAGACCGTATTCATGAGAACGTCATATTCATATATGTAAATTACTAAAATGAGAGAGACAAGTTATTTTGGTAACTCCACTTCAAATTCTAAGTCCATATTCTAACAATAAACCAAATAGAGTGACGAGACAGGATTTATAAAACTGACTCCAAGTTTATTGGGGGAAAAAAAGAAGAAAAATTTACTCTCCTAGATAGAGTGAGACTCTTACGAGGATGAGAGCTTTGATCACATCAGTTTCCAGTTGAAAACCATCCCCGTTTTCGCTCTGAACTTCAAGCAATATGTCCACAAAATCTGGTCCAGTTTCATCAGTATTGCCATCATGCTTTCTCTCTCCTTTCTTTCTATCCCTGTGTTCTTCAACTACCCCCTCCAAAAATTCATCAAACACTTTAGCCACTTTTTCCACTTTGGCATTCAAACCGTTGAATTTACTAATCCAGGCAAGCCATGGAATGTAATCCCCTACACAGAAAGTACCCAGTAAGCCCACAAAATCCCTCAACAATGACTTGAATTTTTTCCCTTCTTCTCCCACACCATATTTCCTCCCCAATGCTGCCCTGCACACTATATCATTTGTAAGCGACATAAAAATATCGCTCAAGTTTATTGACGAAGATGAAGAACACAACTGGCTAATTTTCTCGACCATAAGGGATGTTTCTTCTTCTCTTATGCGCCGAAAAGATTGAACCCGCTTGTTACTCAAAAGCTGTAGCACACATATGCTTCTCACTTGCCTCCAGAATTCGCCATAAGGAGCAAACGCTACATCCTTAGAACCATAAATCAGTCTTTCAGCGATGCTTGATTTTGGCCTGTTGAAAAGACAAAATTTAAATAAATAAATTTATCCGTTTCTAATAGCTTAAAAGTAGACTACATGGTTCAACATATATTAGAGCTTTTGATATATCCACCATCCTCTTCGGTCCAGGATTTCATAATTGAAACTTAAACCCATTTCTGAAAATGAAATCTACAGAAAAAACTGAGCTTCCAAAACATCATTAAAATAAACCTATCATCCTTTAAAGGCTCAAGCATTTAAACGAGAGAATTCAACCTAACCTGTTTGAGAAAATCAAATCATGATCTTTCATGACCTTGCGTGCTGCATCGGCAGAGGAGACAACCAACACCGGCACGCTGCCCAGATGAAGTAACATAAGTGGACCATAACGTTTAGACAGTGATTGGAGAGAGCGGTGGGGGTGTAATCCCAATTGATTCAGATTTCCGATCACGGGAAACCTTGAAGGAGAAGGCGGTAGCTTCTTTCGGGTTGTTGAACTTGAAGCTGCATCATAGAACTGTTTGTAGAGGAAGATGAAGAACAAAAGAAAGCAAACAAAAGCAACTATCCAGTGTGAAATGAACATGATTTTCTTTTATGTATTACGAGATTATCTTCTTATGTGGGATGAAGATATATATTGACGGGTTCTTATGGAGTGGATCATCATATTGATGTTTTCCACAAAAACGTCAAATATTTTATCCATATGCCGCAAAAAGATTAGATTGTTTGGCTTGAATTTCCCCATTCCCTCCCATTAAATTATATTTCAATTTTTTCGATTTTATTTTCAATTATACAATCTTTCATAAAATAATATTACACGTGAACCAAAAATTCTTCCTTCTTTTTTAATTGCTTATTTTTCGAAAAATATTATTCCACACATTTTCATTTCAAAAAATAGAGGCCAAACGGGGGCTTAGTTGAAACTTTTTATCCACACTGATGCAGTTGTTTATAATTGTTTTTAATCATTCAAATTACTTTTTATGAATACATTTCGTTAGATTCACGTATTCGATACTCGTTTTTATTTTTTTATAACTTAAATTGATTACAAATAATTCCAAAACATGCTTATATACTTCATGTTTGGCAAAGTTTGTAATAGTTATAGATGGGTCAAACTCTATTTTTTTATTCACATATTTTTTGAAATCTATAATTTTATTTTATTTTTATTTATTATTTATAAATTCACAACTCATATCAATTAAAAACCTTGAGTAACATGCACTCAGTCAGACAAGACCCACTCCATAAAATAGGTCAAAAAGGTTTTTGAATACTTTTCCTTTTATTGTCTTTTAGCACTGTTTTTCGCCACTTTTTTATCATTTCATTTCGGCAATTTTTTAGCATCGATTTTGAGGGAATAATAGCATCTCCAAACACCAAATCTCCATTTTTTACCATTTTACAGCAAATTTGATAAATATCATTTTGCGCTTTTTTTTTTATTTATCACCAAATGATATCAAGAGTATTTGTGTCATTTTATAGTATACATGAATTATTATTATTATTGTTGTTGTTGTTATTATTATTATTATTATTATTATTATTATTATTATTAAGAAATTTTAAAGATGTTGAACGTGCATTTGGAGTTCTACAATCTGGATTTGCAATTGTAAATAGACCAACACGTTTTTGGGACAAACATGTATTACGTAATAAAATGACTGCATGCATTATTATGCGTAACATGATAATCGAGAAAGAACATGATCTCAATGTACCAGTTCAAGATTGAACAAAACACCCTACTCCAAAAGTTGAGTTGTTTGAAGACGAAAATCAACATTGTCAAGAATTCCTTACTTGTTATAGACAAATCAAAGATAAAGATGCACACATTGCACTTCAAAATGCATTAATTGAACATTTGTTGGATGAATAAATATTAATTTCGATAATTAAATTACGACACTAGGTCGACTTTGTCGTATCAGAATTTCGAAATTCGAAATGTACTACATTGATTTTGATAACATGATTTAATATTTTCTTAATTATATTATTTTTATTAATTGTACTACATTTTAAAATTTTATTAAATGATTTAATATTTTCATAAATGAAACATAATTATGTATGTAGTAAATAAATAAATAATTTTTAGCTATATAAATTGTTAAGAATAAAAAAATGAAGAAAATAATTAAATACTATTCATTTTGTGCAAATTTTGGTGTAATGTGTTGGAGATGATTTTCATTTTACTTTAATCTTTTATGGACATGTATAATTAAATCTTATTTTTTTATTTATTATATTCCATTTATTTTTCTTTCTCTCTCTTATTATTTATCTCTATTTCTATAAAAAAAAAATTAAATTGGATTCTTATAACTTTTTTTTTCTTTTTTCATTCATTTTTTGAGAAAAATACCTATTTTTTTTATTAAATTATGAAAATTTATAATTAAATTTAAATATATTAATTTTTTATTTATTTTTAAAAGTATACTATACTAATAATATTAAATCCTATATATATGTATACTTTTGATTATTAATTATTTAATTAAAGTCTTAAATTTATATTTTTTCAAATTCTTTTTTATTATATGGGAAGAAGAAGTGGAAGTAAAAGGGGAATTATGAGAACTAACATCTCGTATGTGAGAATCTCACACCTGATCCATATGAATTCTATTTCAAATGAAAGTTTTTAAAAGTCTTTTGAATTCCACAAAAGTTTATAAAATTTTAAAATGAAAATCCATAGAAGTTTACGAAAGACTTCCACTAATTCCATACAAATCTTTAAAAAATCCACGAAATCTACAAAAGTCATCACTTAAAAAAAGTCCATCAAAGTTTTCAAAAGTCTCAATTGAATACACCCCCTAAGTCTCCACCGAATACGTCAAAATGTCTTTCAAATTTTTCTTTTTGGATTGGAAATTTGACATTTTCCATTATGATTCTGGCCTAGAAATTTCTATATATAGAAGAAAACATATGGAAACATTTTTATTGGATAAAAACCCATCCATTAACATTACTAATATTGTTCAATCATAGGCTTAAGAAAAATGTTATTAGGGGAAAATTCTTATTTTGAAGTACCATATCCATAAAATCGATGCACATATCTTCCAGGTGAATTTAGTCTCACAATCTTCTATGAAGATGATGTTTCTTCGAGGTTATGTCAAGAAAAACATGATGAAGTATTTTTCAAATTTGACATTTTCCATTATGATTCTGGCCTAGAAATTTCTATATATAGAAGAAAACATATGGAAACATTTTTATTGGATAAAAACCCATCCATTAACATTACTAATATTGTTCAATCATAGGCTTAAGAAAAATGTTATTAGGGGAAAATTCTTATTTTGAAGTACCATATCCATAAAATCGATGCACATATCTTCCAGGTGAATTTAGTCTCACAATCTTCTATGAAGATGATGTTTCTTCGAGGTTATGTCAAGAAAAACATGATGAAGTATTTTTCAACACAATTCTTTTATATATACGAGTTTCAGGATGATGGTGGATGGCATTGTTGTTCAACAATTTGTTCAATTAACGATGTGGCTAACTTCTTGACAAAATCATCTTTGACATGGACATTCAAGAATTGGTCAACAATATTGGAATGTGCTGATTCCAGGATCTACATTAACTGCCATCAAGAGGAAAGTTGTACTCATTTTCTTTCATCTATGTTGTGTCTAATTAAGATTTTCAGCAAGATTTTAAAGAAGTAACATTTTTTGATTATTCAAATTTTGATTAGCTAATCAATTTTCTCTGTACTTGTTTGACAATATTACAACAAAATTCTGTTTTGTTTTTTATTTTTTTTGAACTCATTTTCAACCAAATACTCACAATAAAATATTTTGTACGAAAACCATAAAATTTTCCTATTTTTTAATTATATATTCTCCAAAAATTCATTATTCCAAAATTCATTTTCTTCAAACAACTCATTTTAATAGTTGTCAAACAAGGGCTTTGTTTAAGTATTTAACAAGTCATTCAATAGAAAGTATTGCAAATAAAAGATATTTACGAACAACTATTTTACTCTTGTAACATTACTTTTTTCCTATTAATACGGGTCTTTATTTGCAATGGAATAATATGTTTAAGTTTTCACCGTACGTAAGTCTTATTTTATAATTCTATAACAATTTAATTATTGAGATATGTCCTATTTTAGAGACCATCACCTTAATTTTCCTTATTTAAGAGATGGCAACATAGTGGTGCGAGGTCAGACAACCTTCCTTGTCCTGTCCCAGTACGACAACATAGAGGGTGAGGTCCGACGGCCGGGGGCGGGGGTGGGGGAATTTTCTTGCCCCATATTCACCCCATTACCCATCTAAGGCAAGGTGGGACGGGATGGTGCGATTGTTTCGTTTATGTACCCGTTTATTTTTTTTATTTTTATTTATGGTTTTTGATAATTCATTTTATTATACCTATTCATTCAAGTGAGACAATAATAAAGTTATTAAAAATTTTAAATTAATTAATTTATTTTTAAAAATTAAATTATTCAAATATATTTGGCAAATTAAAGTTTTTATTGTTTCTCATATTTTTTAGATAATTTTAGTTATTATTTTCTATTAGAATTAATGAAGTTTCGTGAAAATTTTTCATTTAAAGTATTGAATTAAAAAAAAAAACTTGATGGGAAATTTCCAATCCCATGCCCAACCTGCTAACTCGATTAAGTGGTATTCCTCGTTCCGCTAGAGGCGAGGCCTCGCGAGTATCGAGTTTGACAAGTATTTTTGCCATCTTCATTTAGTATTTGCTAGCTTGGTCCCTCGAATGCATGCGGAGCCTTATCTGGCCCAATGGGCTGTAGTCAGAACCCAATTAGCTGAAGCCCGCCTACTGTTAATCCCAGGGAAATCATCAACCAAAAGTAAGGGCTGCAAAGACCGCCACGTGGACGGTCGATTTTGCCGCAACAGACTCTTAGCCGCATTGTTTGGTCAATATTAGGTAGCGTTTCTAGGGTTTCATCTCAAACGCAGTCACAATTTATTAAGATATCTCTCTATATTGCTTGTTCTCTCTCTCTCTCTCTCTCTAGATTATTCGCTTCTGATATGGAGATGGAGCGCGTGACAGAGTTGACGATTGATCGGCGGCCAAGGAAGAGGCCTAGATTAGGCTGGGATGCCGTGTCTCAGGCCTCTAAGGTATTCAATCTTGAATTTCTCGGATTTGGTCATTAGATATATGATAGTTTTTTTGTAGATCTGATGGAAACTTATAATTTGTTGGATCAGGTATGGAAAAGGTTATATCTTTGTGCATTAAATTGCGTGTTTTGGAGGATATAGTTAATTTCGTAGATCTGTGATTTTTTTATTTTTTTATTCTGACCGGATTTCTCGTTTTATGTTTAATTTTATAGCTTTATTAGGGGGCAAATGGATCAATTCCGAGTTAATATTATGGATTAACAAATCATTTTTGCGATTATCTGATAGTCACTTTATGTGATATTATTTGTTATTGCGCCTCCAATATGCAAGAACTTAAGAATCGTTAGATGAAGCTGCATGAATCTTTAGTTTCTATCTATTTGCTTAAAGAAAAATATTTTGGAGCTTCTGGTAATTGGAATTTGGGCTTTTTTTCTCTTGTAGAATTTGAATTAGGA